GCCTCTCAATGTGAAGGATGAACGTCAAAGGCAGAGAGAGGCCCCAGATCGGCTACTGGACCTTGCCGAGGAGCTCCTATAGGAGCCATCTGGGCCAACACTGCCTCGCGGTAAGATCTGGGTTCTGACACGCTGGCCGTGTTACGTGTCCCCTTGGACAAAGTGCTTCCAGTAAGTCTTGGGCTGTCCGACCCTCCTGAACACACGCATCGAAGCAGGTCACCCTTCACCTTCCCCGGGAGCCACAGCAGAGGTCACCTTTGCGATCACAAAGCCTGGTCTCCCTTCAGTTCATCTGTGTGTGTGCATGCCCACGCGTGTGCACACTCACACCCTGGCACACACCGTCCGCTTCGGCACAGCCGGCAGCCAAGGGCCATCGGAGCCCTGCAGGGGGCGCTGTGCCTGCCACAGGCCGGCTCACAGTGAGGAGATCGTGTGCACAACACCGGCATTCAACGGAGGCGCTAGAAAACTAGCTAAATCAGTTCAGGTAGTGGTGGGTTGGTGTTTTTGCTTTTTTTTTTTTTTTAATTTTTTTCTTCAAAAAACCACCTCCAGAAGGAATTTTTTTTTAGCCTCTTCTTTTAAATGTTAATGAAGTAACATGTGAATTCAAGGTCCCAGAAATGAGCAGCTGACTCGAGAGTTACCCAGACGAACAAAACAAGTTCTAAATGCTTCGAGGTGTGAAACAGGAAACACAGCCATCAGTCTTTTAGGAAGAACTTTGTGGGTACCAGCACTCCCACTGTGACCATTGTCTTCCCAGTTCCAGTTGCTACCAGAAACGTGACCTCATTGTTCTCTAAGGACCAGTTGCGATGGCCCCTCCACCTTGCCTCCCCTACAGCAAATTGGTCCGGGAACCGAGGACCCCGCACACAGGGGACTTGGTGTGCGGAGAACCCACAGCCAGTGCAGCCTCCAGGGACTCACACAGGCCGGAAAGGGTCCCGAGCAAATACCAGGGTACCTGTTAGAATTTTCCCGAATGCTGTAAAAAAGAACAAGTGTGAGCACTCCGTCACCTAAAAGCCTGTGACCAGAAACTTTACAGTGGTTGATGATGGATCTCCAGAGCCTGGGGCGTCCGTGTGTGGTACGAGAATGGGCAATGAGTGAGCAGGGATCTCCAGGTGAACCCAGGGAAAGAGGAACAGCTGACTTACATCAGGCCTGGAACTCCAAGGAAGTTCCGGGAAATTAGGAAAAGACGGTCTGCTCTCTGACTGTTGTGGGGACAAGGGGGGAGAGGTAGGCCTCTTGCCAGATGCTGCAAGAGACAAACCAGGCCCACTTCTTAGTCTTGGCTCCTTTACTGAACTCTCGGGGAGGCCTTTCTTCATGACTTGGTACCCCGGATTCTTCCCTAAGGATGACAGGCTTTGCATCCATTTCCGGACTGGGGGCTGGCCCCACCTCGTGGGATTCTGTTTCACACACAACCGCCTGGCCCTCACTCAGACACTGGATCCCCAGAGACCTGCTCACCCCCTAAAGCATGGAAGGAAGTGGGGAGAGGCAGTCTGCAACGGCCTCTCTGCACGCACAAGCCCCGTGTTCCAGCTGACATCACGAATCTCTCCGTCCTTGTCCGCAGAATGAGCTTGGTGTCCCAGGAAGGCCCGAAGCTGAGACAAGGAACTGCAATTTCTGATCCTCATGTGGCTGAGGTACCCGGTACTGCCAGGCGCCTTCCGGGTGATGGAATATTCCTTCCTCGGAGAGAGGAAGGAAGGTCCATGATGTTCTGGTCCATGATGTTCTGGACTGTGTTTCTCTAGGGTGGCCAAAGACATGGAGAGTTTATGCTCTGACCGCTGAGGTCATTCCAGACGAACCTCTCCCAGCTTTTCCCTCCTCCTGCCCAGCAGGGAGACTACGGAACACTGGAATCACATAAGCCGAGACGAGAAACTGTCACTGTGACCCCACCCACCCCAGGAGCAGACGAGGAGGAGCCAGTTCTAGAGGTGAAATCGGTGAATATCCATCTGTGTTATCATGACCACCGCTACTTAACATACAGGCTGAATTTTTTTAAACACAAGGGTTCACATCCACAAGAGGTAACTGAGAGAAGCTGAGGTGACCTCACGTCCACTCCAGAGCCATTTCAGCTGCCAAAGTCCCGGATCTCCAATAACCAGAAAATCGCAACTGAGGGAGATGGCGGACATTTCCCCAGAAGACAGCAGCATTGATGTCGTCTTGGAAATATTTCTTCTGTCTAGTGTAATCATAATTCACTCGAACATTTTAATAAAAGTATTAAAATATACTTCATCTTTTCCTCTAACTACATTTATATATAAATCCCTGAGAAGGTACCTGTCAACTTGAAATTCACTATTTACAGTTAATAAACAACAGGGGAGCAAGCAGACCCCAGCTCCCCCACTCCCTCCGACAGCGGAGTGGTGCTGTCATCTGTCAGGAGAGCAAACTAGGTGCCCCTCCCTTAAATGGGCATAAAGGGGGGGCTGGGTGGCTCAGTCGGTTGAGCGTCCAGTACTTGGTTTCGGCTCAGGTCATGATCTCATGGGTTGTGGGATCGAGCCCTGCCGTCGGGCTCCTTGCTCAGCGTGGAGTCTGCTTGAAAGATTCTCTCCCTCTGTCCCTCTTCTCTCTCTCTCTCAAGATAAATAAATAAATCTTAAATAATAATAATAATAAAAGGCGTGGGGGGCTGTGCCGAAATCCTAAACCATCTGCACAGAAGCTGGGGAAATCTGTCCTTCAGTCACTGGGTCGGTGGAGGTCATTATGTAATTCAGCAGGGACGCCACACTGCCTCTCACAATTGCCTTGCTTTTCTGCCCTTTTTAGACCTCAGAGTGGTGGTGCCAGGGAGGATCAGGGCAGCTAGCCACAGCTGCCAAAGAAAACAGGCAAAGGAAGGAGAGGCAAGCAAGGAAGAGAGCGGGCAGAGAGGAAGGCAGGGAAGAAATGTGGCGACGAAGCTGAGGGGACATGCAGAGAGCAGGAGGAGGTGACTGCCCATCGTCACCCCTGCCCCTGACCAACGCTGGAAGTGAGCAAGCGGCAGGCAAAGGGTGACCCCTCAGTGAGAAAACGCAGCCAGCCATTCAAAGCAATGAAAATACATAAACCAGACAATGATCTCAAAGGATGCCGGGTCGTACTGTCAGGGAGACTAGGGGTGTTTCTCTTCGCCTCGGGGACCAGCTCTCGTCTCATCCAAGGGGATTTGGCCAATACCAACTCTTGGACACTAGGGTGACCTGCAGCCACGCAGTGTCGGTGATGCTAAAAGTGCGTCCAGACCTCTAGGCCATTCTGGAAAGAGGGAGGAGCTCACTAAAAATCTGACTTATAATCACAGCTACCCATCAGGCTGGTGCTGCGCAATAGCCTGTTAATTGAGGTTTCTGGAGAGGTGAGTGTGAGACCCCGGATAGCTCAACGCCTCACGGTGCCAAGTGGGAGGGACTAGGGAGAGGCCAGCGCCATTCCTGCCCACGTCATGAGACAGGCGCTCATCACACCCCAGCCAGGGAGCACGATTTGACTTGCGAATCCAGGGTTGTAAGAAAGAGCTTCCAAATCGGTCTCCACTACTTTAAATCTACAGCTCCCGAGGAAGAGAATTTTTAAATAAAGTGCTGTCAGAGTGCATATATGACAGATACTCTGCAACCCAGATGGCCAGAGATTCATTAGACTCTCTCAGTGCTTTGGAGTTTAAAAAAAAGTATGGACAGAACTCCCACTGAGAGCTCAGGGCTCCGGGCAAACCACGTACGTGCTCTGCCCAAGTCCCCGCATCTTGGAAATTCTACAAAGTCCGCATGAGGATAAACTGAACATCACGGGCAGTCCAAGGAAAAATCAAAGTAATTCCACACCAGGAATTGAGTCTGGAGGAGGGAGCCATCCAGCCCACTCCAGGAGAATTTGCCTAAAACAAGTTTGCCTAATATTCAGTTCTAATCCCTGTTCTTCTAACCCCCTCCACCTTCTCAGCGGTTTGTATCACTCTGGCGCCTTATTCTTTCGCATCTTTTTTACATTTTAAGGATATCTGAATTCAATTTATCTAAGAGCACAGAGGACTTAATTTTGTATTTCTAGTAAAAACTCATTACATTTGCCCCCATTTTATTAGATAATAGATTTTTCTCGTATCTATTTTTGAATATGTTAAAGGTTTTGCATCCGGTTTATCTGAAGTCCCTTGCTTAAAATACTTAGTTCCAGCAATAAGGACATGCTTCTCTATGCACGGTTTCATACTGTGACAACAGGTTTTTCTTCATTATTATTACCGTCTAAGTAAGAGAGCTTTAAAATAAGACACAAGGAAATCTGATTCCCCTGTCTCACATCATCATTTTGCTGGAAAAGGAAATGCCTTCATCAAATAGAAACAAATATTCTGAATCACTGAATCAAATCAATAAGAACATACAATGCTCATGTGCGCGTCCAATGATTAGGAAAGACAAACAGCAAGAAAGGGGAGACTTCGACAAATTCTGTATGAAATCATAGAGATATCACAAATAATTATTGCCAGAAACAGTATGTTAAACAAAGGGTCTTCGGGCAAATGTATTAAAACCGTCTTAAATACAAACAACCCCATCACCAGTAAAATGCTGCAAATTTGATCATGATTAAAAATACAAAATTATTCAGACCCTTTGATAAATTGGTCTTATAAATTTCCCAAGTGAGGTTCTAAAGGTAGGCTTCGCGGCAAATTTGCCCACCAGGTGTACTGATCGCTAGGGGAACTGGTTTCAGGCTATTCGACCTGTGCCCTGCCCAATTCACGCAAGGGTGCAGCCTGAACAAACAAACAGGGAGCACTTCTGGGTCCAGGTTCGAGGGAGCCTGTCTGCCCGGGATGTGCAGGGAGGTGCAGCGCTGCGGGAGGGGCGAGGGCAGGAGGGAGGCACACCCGCATCCTTCTCTGCGCGGAGCCCCGCTGCTCCCTCCCCCACCGCACACGCTTCCAGGCCTCTGACCCCTCACGTCCTTTTCCTCCAGGAGGACGTCCGCTTTTCCTTCTGCGCCGTCGCCGCCACCCGCTGCTTCTCCGCTTCTTCCGCCTTCCTCTTTTCCTCCTTGGCCTCCTTGTACCGCCACTTGGGGAGCTGCAAGTGGGCGCTGTCCTTGGTGCTGCCCTTGGCGGCCGTCCGCTCCGGCTGGAAGGTGGGCGCGGGCGCCTTGCTGATGCGCACCCTGGGGATGACCACGCCGGGCCGCACGCTGCTCCTCCGCAGCAGCTGCAGGGGCAGGAGGCTGGTCCTCCGCGGGGCACCCGGCAGCTGCGGAGACGGGAGGCTGGCTCTCGGGGCCACCTCTCTGGAGACCCCGACGGCCTGGGAGGTCCGGAATGGCTGCTCAGAGCCCTGGATCTTGTCACTCTCCTGGGCGTGCGTGTCCCGGTTCCCCTGAGCCTCCAGGATTTCCTGCACCGCCAGCCGCCTCTTCCCCACACAGGGGGGGTTCTCGGGGCACACAGTCTGGCAGACGATGGCGACGGCGGGGCTGTACAGGCTCGTGGTCATCCTGACCATGTGGTCCAGGACACCCCCATCCTCCAGGCCCTGGCGTGAGCGGGAGGTCAGCGCGGACCGCACAAGCTCGGTGAGCTTCTGCAAGCAGTTTTTGGAGCCCGAGGGCTTCAGAACGGCCTCCGGAGGCAGCGGCAGCTCTGGTTTGTATTTTTCCCCAAACTGCTCCGGGCAGGGTCGCTCCAGCAGCCTCTGGATGAGGCGGACAGCCTCCACCCGTCCAGTGTAAGTGGCCCACTCCTGGGGCGACATCCCACGGCGGGGGTCCCTGGCATGGACATCTGCTCCTGAAAATTAAAAAAAATGCAAACACAAACAGTAATGGGCAAATGCAACAAGAACTTTCCCGGCCAATGGCAGGAAACGAAAGAGTGAAATGGATCAAAGGTAAAACTTCCAAAACCTAGTGACAGACTACTGGGAGCTGTGCCACCTGGATGAACTTTCGGCTGACCGTGAACTACTATTATTACAACACAGCCCACCTTAAGTGCTCCATTTAATGGCCCACCTTTCCTAAACAAAACTGCCTAAACTCAGCACCTAAATCATGGAATTTTTAAAGAAATAAGATTTCATGGCTTGGGGCGCCTGGGTGGCTCAGTTGGTTAAGTGACTGCCTTCGACTCAGGTCATGATCCTGGAGTCCCGGGATCGAGTCCCACATCGGGGGATGTCTGCTGTCTGCTCTGCAGGGAGTCTGCTTCTCCGTCTGACCCTCTTCCCTCTCGTGCTATCTCTCATTCTCTCTCTCTCAAATAAATAAATAAAATCTTCAAAAAAAAAAAAAGATTTCATGGCTTTCCAGCAACGAAGAGATGACTAGACAGCAAAGGTGCTCTGTGAGCATGTCAATGATGTTACTAGAATGTTCTAGAATACTAAAAGGAGTAATCACTTGCAAAGCATTTGGTGTCCCGTTTACTTATCATCTCATGTTTTCCTCACAGATCTCTTGTGAAGAATGTGAGGGTCCCTATTTTGCAGGAAATGTGTGGTCCTTCACTTCTTGTACTGAGTGGTTAGGAGGTCCTGGGTCTATCCTCTACCAGATCGTGGGCTTTTCCAGGGCAGAGCCCACATCTTACTTGTTTTTGTTTCCTCGACACTTCTCACCCTGGCTGGTAAAAGGCATGCATTGAATAAAGGTTTGTTACAGAACGGATGGTAGTCACAGTGGCCAAGGGACCTACCTGAGGCCTCGAAGATGGTAACAGAGAAAGTCTCAGCCCTGTACACTTCCCACCACCCCACAGAGAGAGGACCACCTCCTCTCTGACAGTTGTCTGTATCAACACGGTCAGACTAAAGGACCCAGGGATGTAAACAAACACCAATCTAGCTAGGTGCACGGTAAAGCTATTTCACAGATGCAGTTGGCATCCACAATCAGTTGACTGAGCCAAGATTACCCTCAATAATGTGGGTGGGCCTCATCCAATCAGTTGAAGGCCTTCAGACCAAAAGCTAAAGTTTTCGGGAGAAAAAAGAGTTCAGCCTCAAGATTGTAGCATTAACTCCTGTCCAAGTTTCCAGCCCAAGGGCCTGCCCCCACTAATTTTGGGCTCTCCAACCCCCAAAATCACGTGAGCCAATTCTTTAAAAGAAATCTCTTAATGTGTATCTCTTGTTGGTTCTGTGTCTCTGGAGCACCCTGCGTCCTACATCCTCAGTCACTTCCTTAATAAATCTCCCCCATACCACCCACTGTGCCCTCCTAATACTGCAAATTTAAATGTCAACTCAACTTGATGAAATGTTCATAAATTTCAGCATGGTGCTGTAAGAGAAATTAATAAGGAATTGCTGTTCAATTCATCTTGGTCCAATCTCAGCCTCATACACAGTTAAAAATCATTCAGGATTTCAGGTCCCATTAGTCATACTTTCCCTGGAAAGCAATGTGGAGAACTAGGGCAATTATCTAGTCTGTGACCTCCCCAGGGACCAGGACTGGCAGAGGCTTCTGCATTTATATCCCATGCAGACCCAGGTGTGTGATGTGCGGCAGCAGCTCAGCGTGTGCTGAACGGAGGCGAGGACAGCTCACCAGCCTCCCTGCCCCAGCCCCCCGCCCGTGGCCCCCTGGCCCAGGCAGCCCCAGGCCACCTGAGATTGCCTCATAATGCTCTTCATTCTGGGGCACATTTAAAAAATAGGCATACTAGAGGAGTGGTAATTATTTGGAACTGGAAATCGGGATGGAACTCATTAGCCAGAGTACAATTTATAAACTGACTAAAATGAAAAGGGGGCAGTAAAAATGTCACTGCAAAAATAGATGACACATTAAACCTTAATTAATTGCATGTCACTTAAAAAGGTACAAACTGCAAAATTAAAATCTTAATGAACCCGGCTGGAGAGAGACATTTTTCAAAAGCGGATGGAAAACTAAAAGAACAGCTGTCCACAGTGTAGCATACTTCTTCCTGTGCCTTTTCAAGATGATCTTAGAAACTGCACACATTCTGAAGAACAAGGCCATGCGCACGGGAGTGCAGCCTAAGGATGTGAGTCATGCCATAATTTGGGGATCCACTTCCTTCAGCAATCAGTAAGGGCAATATTAACGGCCTGGACGGCATGATTAAATCATGGAAGGCCAGCACCAATGATGAACACTCTATACAGAAACCTTTCAGAGAACACGGAGAACACGGAGAACTCTGACAGGCCAGTCTATGCATCTTCTGCCCATGAACTACCGGCACCCTCACCCCCTACCCAGGGCTGTTTTGCCCAGGGCTCCAGCCATGCAGACAAAAGTTGGGCTCCTGCCCGTGCATCCATTTGCCGCCATGTTTAATGCTCTGAGTTGTCTACACAAAGTCCTCTGTTTTACTCAAGGCAGCAACATACTCAGTTCTAGGCAATGCATCATGACTGGTGTAAACCAGGGTTTTGCCACCTCGGGACTGTTGATGTTTTGGGCCAGATCATTATGTGGTGTGGGGGCTCTCCTGTGCCGTAAGACTTCTAACGGCAACACAAAGTCCTCTGTTTTACTCAAGGCAGCAACATACTCAGTTCTAGGCAATGCATCATGACTGGTGTAAACCAGGGTTTTGCTACCTCGGGACTGTTGATGTTTTGGGCCAGATCATTATGTGGTGTGGGGGCTCTCCTGTGCCGTAAGACTTCTAACGGCAACCCTTGTCTCTACCCAGTAGATGCCAGTAGCATTTCACAGTTGTGACAGGCCAAAATGTCCCCAGATATTACCAAATGTTCCGGGGGGGGGCAACACCCATCCCCAGTTGAGAATTACTGGTCTAACCCAGTAACTGCAATCCTGTTCCCCTTTTTCTTAGCCTCGCTTACAGCTGGTCAATGAGCCCCAAAGAGAAGGCTTTTGTACACTGATAAAAGTGACTATGTGGTTGGGGTGCTGCTTCCTGTCTGAAGCCTAGGAGTTCTGGTGACCAAGTTGCAGGGGGGAGAGGAATGGGGAGTCATGGGGATGCTGGGTGGACAGAAAAAGGAACCTAGTTCTGTGATGTCCTCATGGAGTTCAGGCCAGCTCTGCACCGTGACTGCCTACCTCAAGACTTCTGGCGAGGTGAGCAAAACAGATGCTTGTTTTCTTTCAGCCACTGTCAAGTCAGGATGTCTGTGACGGGAAGCAGAAAGCATTCTAAAACAGGTACTAAAGGAAAACAAGCTACCTTCCATCACTCACTGTCAGAAGCTTTCTCCGCAGAGCTGCGGCCAGGTCATGGGACTGGCAGCAGGCAGGCAGAGGCCGGGGTGCGTCACTTCCTTTCCTGTTTCTCTGCCAGCCCCCCACGTTATCCACCCTTCTAAGCCCAGCGCTGGTCCCCCTCCCACCAAGAGGCCTTACTGGTCTCACGGGACCCTTTTGGACCAGTCCCTGCAGGTCTCCTCCTGTGCCATCCTGGCCTGTGTCTTGGGTACTTGGGATATAATCGATGCGAAAAATCAGGATGCAGGGTCTCAGAAAAGAGACCTGATCTGGGGGATGGGAAAGATTGTGCTTTCTGCCTCCAGCCTGCTCCACCCCAGAAGGCATTTCCAAGCTATCTTGTACTCAGTCTTTTGGAGGGTCTCAGCAGGGCTGACCCCCAGTTGCCCAAGGGTCCCCCTTCCCCATCCTTCACGTGGCTTCCTGGCTCCCCTTCCAGAAAAACTAGTTGCCCCCAAGTCCTTGTCTCAAGGTTTGCTTTTGGGCCAAGCGAAATGCCCAAGCTAAGACCCTGCCCTCGGTGACATGGAATGCCTGACTTTTGGCCCTTTCCCTGCATAATCATTTGAAACTATTCCAACTCAGCAAATTCTCAGGTCACAGGAAATCCATGTTTTCCTTATAAACAGAAAGAAACCTCTGCAGTGATATCAAATCACTTGGCTTTCCAGAAGCACATGGTCGGGGCTTGCCTAGGGCAAGAATGACCACAGGCCCAACAACAGGGGTGCCTCTCCCTCACTGAACAAGCCTCCTACACCTCCCCAGAGGTCTGCTTTGTCGCCCAGAATCACGGGAAGAGGCGAGCATCTTGCCTGCGCGTGTCTGCTTCCCAAATGCTACAGCAATCACACACTTCAGGGATAAAAGCCGGCCCTCTTAAGCGAGTCTGGAGCCTTCCAACCTCCACTGAGCTCTGCTTCTCTTCAGAGAAAATCACATCCTCCTTATGGCTTCTCAGAGCCACTTACTTAAATAGACTTGTCACTTCGGGGCATTAATATTCCATTGAATTAACAAGAACCCACAGCCCCACTTACGATGCTTATCAGCAGAGCTGACATTATTCCTTCGGAAGCCAAAAACCAAAGAGCCAATAAATCAGCTTTTTGGAACCTGGTTACATTTTTATGAAAATCCAAAGTTTTGATAATTCTAACGTTACTTCGTTCTGCCTGACAAGATAAGATAAGAGGATGATATGTGTCTGGATGTTATGAACTACTGGAAAACCTGAACCGTTTAAGGGGGCATCCAACTCAATGATCCATCATTTCTAAAAGGAAATGGTTCCTATTGAATATAATGAAGTTGCAATTCGGAAATTCAACTCAGGTGCAGAAGGATGCTTGAGCTTGAAAAAATGAGGATGAGATAGATACAGATCTCTACCCTAACCATTCAACATAATACTGCTTGTGCCTTTTGCTTTTGAAATGATCACAGGATGACCATTCTGTGATTAGCTCTCAAGGAATCTTCCCCAGCTGCACAAAAATGCACTCGCTGTTGAAATGCCAATCCAAAGAAATACTCAGGCATTAGTATCTTTAAAGGCTTTAGTTTTTCTAAATATTGATATATTAAATGTAAATAACAAGACTTAAAAATACTTGTGCACATTTTTTACTTTTTTATTTATTTTTTTAAAAGATTTTATTTATTTATTTGAGAGAGAGAGAGAGTGAGAGATAGCACGAGAGGGAAGAGGGTCAGAGGGAGAAGCAGACACCCCGCTGAGCGGGGAGCCCGATGTGGGACTCGATCCCGGCACTCCAGGATCATGACCTGAGCCGAAGGCAGTCGCTTAACCAACTGAGCCACCCAGGCGCCCCTACTTGTGCACATTTTTTAAATATCCCAACAAGTATCCTTATGGCTACGCACCCAAGCCAGGAGGGACTTGGATCGCACAAGTTTTTTTTTTCTTTTAAGACATATATGCACATCTACTGTAAAAGGAAAACGTAATGCATTTTCCTGGGGCATTCAGGAGGGCACTTGTGATGAGCTCTGGGTGTTGTATGTAAGTGATGAAGCACTACATTCTACTCCTGGGACTAATATTACACTACATGTTAACTAACTAGAATTTAAATAAAAACTTGAAACATTAAAAATCAATCGATCAATCAATCATAGTTGGGGGGGGAGTAAATTACTAAAAACCTACACCCAATTATAACTAGCTCCAGAGGTAGTAAAAGCAGATAAAGCTTCCCCCAAACACAAAAGCATCATAAACACCATTTAATTAGGAAGAACCACCTCTTGTTGCTATTGGACAGGCAAGGCCTAAACTTTGTTGAAACTGTTATCTTGCCTTTAAAAAATAAACTGTCAGAGTCAAAAGCACAATCAATGGGATTAAATCTAATTACGCTCTTTTTTATTTCTGTGAAAGTTTTCATCTCTGAAGCCTGTCCTCACTTACTGAATTTATTTTTCTTCCAGCATCCCCTAAAACACTCGGATTGAAGTGGGAGAAAAGAAATCCAAGCAAGCTGTGAGTCCTAGAACCCCAATGTAATCACAAGGAAAATGACAGACAGGCTGGGGACACTGTATACAGGCCAGTGTGCAGACTGTCAGGTCAGGAATGAGGAGGTGAGACTGAGAAACTGTCCCCGGCCTCAGGACCCTGGGGACACGGAACAGTTACATGTGGGAGCCTGGATGGGATCCTGGAACGGAAAGGGGACAGCAATGGATGCATGGGCAAATCCGAATAAAGTATGGAGTTCGGTTAATAGTAATGTACCAGCGCTGGCCCCTCCCTAAGATGTTAACATGCAGGAGACAAGTGAGGGCCATCTGGGACTCTCTGTACTATCTCTGTCACTTTCTATACATCTAAATTAGTCCCAAATAAAAGCTTCCTTTAAAAAAAAGAAGCAGCAAGTTGTCTAAAGAGGACTACCAGCCTAGACTGATGCCCAGCAGAAGGTCGTTGCGTCCTCAGAGAACCACAGTGGGAGGGCAAATGCCACCTCTCCGGGATCTCGTGGGGCCAAGCGGGATGGGCTGAACCCAGTGCCAAGAACAAAGACAAAATGAAGCAAAATAAGGAAATTAAACCATGTGGGCACAGCATCTCACACTGACTGAATCATTAGATGCCAACTCTGCACCCGACCCTTTGTGTGTGCATTATACACATTTTCTCATTTGATTCTCAAAATAACCCAACAAGGCTAGTTAAAGATGATCATGGACTGCATTCTAGAGGGAAGAGAGGAGCTGGGGGCTGACTGAATCTAGCTGGGCAATTCCTTAAATCTACGTAGCCCTGGGGAGTTTACAAAGCAGGGTCACATTTCATCCTGGGGGGTGGGAAGGAAGTCACGACTCCCATGATGGGGAACGGGAGGCTCAGAGAAGGAAGTGCTCCCTCCAAGATGACCAGGTCCTAAAGGGCAAGGCGGGGGTGCCCGTCTTTCCACTCTTTCCACTGACAAAGGAAACTGCTGCATCCTACATCAGCATGTGACTCCAACCACCAGCAAATGGGGATCTAGGATGGCTACTGGGCCCATCCCGCCATCCCTGTGCCCACCCTCAGTGGGATAGGCTTGCACTCGGAGCCAAGACCCCCACATGCCCCCATCCCTGTGCCCACCCTCAATGGGATAGGCTTGCACTCGGAGCCAAGACCCCCACATGCCCCCATCCCTGTGTCCACCCTCAATGGGATAGGCTTGCACTCGGAGCCAAGACCCCCACATACCCCCATCCCTGTGCCCACCCTCAGTAGGAGAGGCTTGCTGCTCAAAGCCAAGGCCAGAACACACATTTCTAAAGAAGAACAAATATGGGCAGGAGGAAGCTAAGGCTGAGGGAAGAGTTTATCAGGGAGCAAGGAGGGGTTTCCTGTAGGGTGACCAGTAATGTGACCTCCCACCCCACCCAGAAGGGTTTGCTTTCCTTTCCGTCTGTTTCAGCTCAGCTGATGACAACCACACCCCTCAAAGAAACTATTCTTCGTTGCATCCACTAGGCTCCGTCTCTATGGAACTGATGCATCTCAGTACATGTTCTCCAAAGGAGCAAGATCGGCACTTCCTAAGACCCTTGGGGACCACCCCCTCCCCACCCCAGGATGGGCAGAGACAAACCTGCTAGCATCAGGGCTCTGATGCACTCCGTTCGGCCCTGCATGGCGGCTTTCATTAGGGCAGTGAACCCAAACACGTTCCTCCTCTCAAGGTCAAGGCCAGGAAAATAGTTCAGCAAGTAGTTGGTGATGGTGGCATGCCCTGCGAAGAGAATCACACACGTTTATTGAGCGCATTCCACCAACAGTGTGCATGCCCCGGAAGCCTCCCCAGAGCCAGGACGGCCACACGGTCAACCTCCAGGACCACCCATCTGTGTGGGTGGCTGAGGCTGCCCCTCAGACACGAGAAATAATTCTCACGGCGTCCAGGAAACAGCAAGACACAGGGCGCCACCCCAGTTCATTCTGGTTCTCTGCGGCCCATCCACGGGGGAGCCCAGCTGTCTGTCAACCGGGTAAGGAGGGACCGTGGGAAGCCAGCATGCGGTGGGGGTGGCATATGGAAACTGAGCTAAGCAAGCCTCTGGCGACACTGGCTGATCAGGGGGAAGGTCCTGGATGCTGTCAGCTCCCAGCAGGAGATGCCAATGCAAACAGATGCAAAACTAAAAATGAACCTCAGAGCCATTTCTCAGTGCTCCCTAGAGGGTCATCATCACAGCGAGGGGATATGCCAATTCATGCTGTCACCTGCTGTTACCACTCAGGCATGTCTCTGTCTGTCTGTCTCTTTCTCTCCGTTACACACACACACACACACCTACACACACACACAGGTAGGAGGCAGGGAACGTGGGGAATGTTGCTACCCAGACCCACCCAGCCCCTGCACCCCCAGGCCCTTCTCTGAGCTGCCATCCCCAACCTCACCCTTGCTGACCTCAGCTAATAGACCCTGGAGAGTTTGAGCAGTCTGCAGGAGTCTCTCCCCTGGGCCCCAGTGGAGGGCCTGGGTGCCCAGTCTCCTTCCTTACACGCTGGGGATCTAGGCCTCTGAAATCTCCCCGTTCTTCCCAGTGCACACATATTCCTGGGGAAACCCCACTGTCAGGCTGCAGGCAAGGGGCCTCGTGGACACTCCAGTGCTCTCTGTCATTAACTGAGCATCACCTCCTCTCCTCCCCGCTGGCCCCCAGGGGGCCTCTGCACCATCGAGGTGCCAGAGGCATGAGGCCCCTTCCCCGGCTGACTCTGTGACAGGTAGCACATGAGATCTGGGATGTGGCAGAGGAGGTGAGACCTCATGGCTGCCCACTCTCAACAAAAATTGGGGTGCAGATTCTTCTAGAACCATTGTTGTCCGCTTACCATGGACCTCAGCCCATCTCCTGAACTCACAGCAAAAATTAAAAGGTGAGCCATGAAGCTTTCTGAGAGAGAAACACTGACTGACATGACCTTGCCCGAAACAAGCTACAAATGGGTACAAGCAGGTGTGCCCCACTAGCACCATGACTCACGGATTCCAACCAGCAACTGGTGCTTTTTCACTCATTTACTCACTCGGCCCTCCATTGTCATCGAAGGTGCCAGGATGGGGAAGATGCTAGCTGGCAGGAGCCCGGAGCAGTTTAATTGCTCTAAACTGTTGGGGGGGGGGTGTCTTTTGATCTCAGTTAGGTTCGTCACCCAGCTAAACGCTTTGCAGCACCTGTCAGTTAGATTTAGAGTGAAACGAATTGCAATTCATTTAGAGCCATTTCTTTTAAAATGTGAAAGCGTGTCTGTCGTAATTTGCAGCAGGATGTCCTTTGCACCGTTATATCCTGAACACTTTGAACAGGCGGGGAGAGGAAATATTGAAAATCCACAAAGCAAACAGCCCATTATACAGAACTGTTCTGCTTATTATGTTGAGCTCTGGAAAACCAACATGTGGCCAACTTGTTCTGACTACAGGCACAAGCTTTCAACAATCCATGAAATCCAGCCCGCCTCCCCACTGGCTTTCTCAGGGCACAGATGGCCTCGTTCAGTGAAATCAAGGGTAGACAAGATGCTTCTAAGTATATACAGATATTAACCTCTCTTCTGTTAAAAACAAGACAACAGGTCCAAAATGGAGTCGCTTCTGCTAAGCCCCCAATCACCAAACCGAGACTTAATTACAGTTTGGGTTTTTCCAGAGATGGAATCTTAAACCAATCAATCAGGAATCGCCTGATCAGCACTAGTGATCCTGATCATCTGCCTGAAAGACCCCTGGCATCCCCTAAAGGAACGTGACCTTGCAATAACCAACCCACTTTTCTGCCCTGTATAGTTTCCTTATTCTTCCTCCCTCCTTCCCCTTCCTTCCTCCTCTGACTATAAAAGTCTCCTACTGCTTACAACTCCTTGGAGCGCCTTTCTATCTGCTAGATGGGATGCTGCCCAATTTGAATCAACTTTTCCTCAAACTCGACATTTTTAATTTGCCGCAGTTTCTCTTTTAACACTTCTTTAAAACCATGACAATTAACCAAGGGGAGCTTTCCTTTTCTTTAGTAAGACACATAGATAGTGATAGATAAATAGGTAGACAGACAGGCTAACACACACAGCCTTCCTTACATAACAGAACCAGAACATGCACCATACTGAAATCTAGTTTGAGCCCAGTCCAACTTTCTGGGAGAGGATTTGCTCCGACAAAGCCCTTTCTAAGGGTGGGCTCACCATAGAGACCCCCAAAGTGCCCCCAATGAGCCTGCCTAAGGGAAGAGCACAAGTGACCCAGGGGTTAAGTGAATTCTGGATGAATTAGCTTCAGTAGCATGATTAAATGCCAGTGTAGAGAGAAAACTTAGGACTTAGAAGAGCTGATTGTGAGAACACCCAAGTTCAAGTCCCAGCCTGTCACTTAACATCTGGGCAGTTTGGGGCTCCTGGATGGCTCAGTTGGTTAAACATCTTCCTTCAGCTCAGGTCATGATCCCAGAGTCCTGGGATGGAGCCCTGCATCCAGCTCTCTGCTCAGTGGGTAGTCTGCTCCTCCCTCTCTTTCCACCCCTCCCCTGGCTTGTATTCTCTCTCTCTCTTGCTCACACTCTCTCTCTCAAATAAATAAATAAAATCTTAAAAAAAAAAAAATCTGGGTAGCCCTGGGAAGGTGAGTCAACTTCACTGAGTCTCTGTTTCCACTTCTGGAAAATGGGAGATAATTTCAACATCACCACTGTGAAACTTCCAGAAGACAGGGTGTGTAAAAAGTGACTTGCAGAAAAATTCCAAATAATTCATGCAGGTACCACACTCTCAAGGAGGTGGAACATAACAACCCACTCCTTAATTCGTGGGCTGTGCATTGTGGCTTCCTTTCAAAGAGGGACTACAGCGAACAGGGAGGGGGACAGTGGAGCCACCTGACAAACATGACCTCAACCAGGTGACGAAGGTGAAGAGCAGTGGTGATGAGTCATGTCGACAGCTGTACTGACAAAGACTCTTTGCTTGACCGAACTTTAGTCAGCCTCCTGAATTTCTAGGCCCAGCTGTGCACTTCCTTGGAAAATCTAGTTTTAGCAAGAACTCTACTCAGTTTGACCAGCACCCCACCCTTCACATCTGATCGCAGTCTTCATCCTCTACACCGCCCCCCGGGGGGATGATGGATCACCCTGGCCTGCCTTCAGCAAGAACCCCACTAGCTCAGTTTAGCCACAACTTCCCTTACCCCTCTGAGTCATTTTCCACCTGCTGACCCCCACCCTGCTCCTTGGCTATAAATCCCCACTTGCCCGTGCTGTACTTGGAGTTGAGCCAACATCTCTCCCCCACTACAAAATCCCATTGCAGTGGTCCCTCCACCGATCACAGTGGTCCTGAAAGAAGTCGGCCTTACCATCTTTAGCAAGTGTCACTCCATTTTTTTTAATGGTACCCTTGATAAGATGTGAATAGAATGGCACTTTCCTCTGTGGTCCTCCCCGCCTCCCCTGACTTCTAACTCTAATCATGAGCAAACATGAGGCACACCCAACCTGAGGGACATTTCACAAACTCCCTGACCAGTACTTCCCACACTGTCAAGGTCATAAAAACAAGAAAAGTGTGAGAAACCATCACAGCCAAGAGGAGCTTGACATGACAGCTAAATGTAATGCGGGCCCCCACATGGGATCCTGGCACAGGAGAAGGGCATTAGAGAAAAGCTGAGGAAGTCTGAGTAAAGAATGGACTTGAGTGAACGATAATAAAGCATCGATCCTGGTTCATTCGTTGTGCCAAACGTATCCCGCTACTGTAAGATCCCAACAACAGGGGACACTGCGTGCAGGCATATGAGATTCTCTGTACCCTCTCTTCAGCTCTTCTGTGAGTCTAACCTATTCTAAAATCAAAAGTGTTTATTTAAAAAGGGTGATCTACAGTGCGCCTAGGTGGCTCAGGGGTTAAGTGTCTGCCCTTGGCTCAGGTCATGATCTCAGGGTCCTGGGATTGAGCCTCATATCGGGCTCCCTGTTCAGTGGGGAGTCTCCTTCTCCCTCTCCCTCCGCCCCTCCCTGGCTTCTGCTCTCAAATAAATAAATAAAATCTTAAAAAAAAAAAAAAAAGGACCTCACATACCCAAAAAATAAACAATTCAAATTACCCAGCAGGTGGGAGAGACCCGAAATGGACTCCCTGCTTCACTGGGGAGTCTGCTTCTCCCTCTCCCTCTGCCCCTCTGCCCCTGCTTGTGCTCACTCATTCTCATTCAAATAAATAAAATCTTTAAAAATCAAAAATTAAAAATTTTTAAAAATAAAAAAAATAGGCTCTTAAAGCAAGATGGCAGAGGAGTAGGAGACCTGGATTTCATCTGGTCTCAGGAATTTAGCTGAATAGGGATCAAACCATTCTGAACACCTACGAACTCAACAGGAGATCGAAGAAGAGAGTAGCAACAACTCTCTGAACAGAGAAGCGACCACTTACTGGAAGGTAGGACATGCGGAGAAGTGAATCCGAGGCGATATTCGGGACGATAGACGGCGGGGGAGGGGGCCTCCGTCGGCCGCTTCTGGCAAGTGCTAGAGCCGCGGAGCACAAAATCGGAACTTTGAGAAGTCGGCTCCTGGGAGGGACGTCGCTCCAGTGGCTAAGTGGGCGGTGGAACCCTCGTGGGACAGTGTGGTCTCAGGACCCTCGGGGTCACAGAAAGACCGGGGGTGCCTGATGCAGCAGAGCTCCCAGGTATCGGAGCGGGGAAGCCGGCTGCAGAGACGGAGCCGAGGC